CAAAAAAAAAAAAAAGAAGAAAAACTTCATACAAATGAAACGTGCATCAGGAACCAGATTTAAACTGGTGACACGAGGATTTTCAGTCCTCTGCTTTACCAGCTGAGCTATCCCGACCATTCCCAACGTAGGATCCCGCTCGCATTTTATTAGATGACTGCGGTTCTATGTCAATTAAAGGGCCAAAGGGAGATTACAAAATTTTCTCCAAGTCCTGCAATTTCTTGGATCTTTAAAAAGACGACTTTCTAACTTTCAGTATGAGGAATGTTATTGGTTGTGAATCATTTAAAGACAAATTCCTTGCTTAATTTGGATAATTTTAATAGCAATAATGTAAATACATTATTGGCATTTTTCTCTGGGTTGTAATCTCTAATAAAAAATATAGCTCCATGGGCAAAAGCCCCTGTCATGATAAATCCTGCAATATATTGGTGATGAGTATATAATGCAGCTTGAGTAGTAAAGTCTTGTGCTATGAATGCATAAGGAGGTAAAGAATACATGTGCTGAGCTACCAAGGAAGTAATAACTCCTAAAGAAGCTAGAGCAAGGCCTAATTGAAAATGAAGCGAATTGTTGATTGTATCATAAAGACCCTTATGTCCACGCCCCAACCTCCCTCCCGGAGGGATGTGTGCATCTAAAAGATCTTTAATATTGTGTCCAATCCCGAAATTAGTTCTATACATATGACCAGCAATAAGAAAAATAAATGCAATGGCTAAATGATGATGAGCCATATGAGTCAACCATAAACTTTGTGTTTGTGGATGGAATCCCCCAAGAAGGGTTAGAATGGCAGTGCCTGCCCCTTGGGAGGTCGCAAATAAATGACTACTTGAATCAGGGTTTTGGGCATAAAGATTCCACTGGCCTGTAAAAAGTGGGCCTAACCTTGGGGATGCGGTAATACATCTAAGAAATTATTCCATCGAACGTACTCCCCCTGGATCCAGGAATAACGGCATGTACTAAATGTCCTGTTCTTATTGTTATTGGATGATCACGAGACTTCCCGAAAATCGAAATTCTTGATCGCGGGAGGAAAACTTCCAGATTAATAGGAAGGAAGCTTAATCGGAATAAATCATAATTTTTTCTATATGATCGATCGATATAACCATCAACAACTGCGAATTGGATTAGTTTCCCCTTAACAAATAAGTGCTTGGGCCACCAAAATCCTGCCTAATGGAGAAGTAGTTGGAGAGGTGACAAAACCCTATTGTTTTCATTACCAACATTAGGATTACTCGTTAATGGTTGATCAAATTGGATGGATTCGCCCTCTGAGACAAGAAGTTCCGGTCCTGGAGGGATAATATCAACACTTGACGTCCATCCGAAGGATCTGTTATGGATATGAAAAGGAACTTCTATAGTAAATGGAATTTATAGAATTGTGATCAATCAAATACTGCAAAGCCCCGGTAATTATTACCAATCCGAATTGGACCATAATGGAATTTCAGTCTATACCGACACCATAATATCAGATTGGGGGGGAAGATCAGAATTAGAGATTGATAGAAAATCAAGGATATGGGCCCGCGTGAGTAGGAAACAAAAAATATCTATTCTAGTTTTATCATCAGCTATGGGTTCGAATCTAAGACGACCCTAACCGAAATGCATACATTTGTCTCATACACTATGGGGATGGTGAGAAGAGATATATTTTACATCCCAGAGGGGCTATAATTGGAGATACCATTGTTTCTGGTACAGAAGTTCCTATAAAAATGGGAAATGCCCTACCTTTGTGTGCGGTTTGAACTATTGATTTACGTAATTGGAAGTAACCAATTAGGTTTACGACGAAACCTAGAAATCAATCACTGATCCAGTTTGAGTACCTCTACAGGATAGACCTCAACAGAAAATTGAAGAGTAACGGCAGCAAGTGATTGAGTTCGGTAGTTCCTCATATCAAATTATTGACTCTAGAGATATAGTAATATGGAGAAGACAAAATTGTTTCAAGCACCGAGAGAGCCGGAAGCGCCCCTTCTTTCCATTGTGAAAGCAAGATTGGTTGGATTAGCCCATTTTTCTGTAGGTTATATATTCACTTATGCAGCTTTCTTGATTGCCTCTACATCGGGAATGAAAACATTATTGGCCACAATCATAATATCATAGTTGGCATTTTGCTCTGGGTTATCTTAAAAAATCCGTCGA